ACTACTACTGCTGCTAATGAAGCTACTACTGCTACCACTAATACAATTGTTATTAACATTAGTATTCTCACTTACATTGCTACAACTGCTGTCAATACTGTCACTACTGCATCCATTTGTAATTCTATTGTTACCAAGAAGTTTAATACTATTAACGTGGCCAAGAGTAGTAGCAGTAGCTGTAGCAGCAGTAGCAGTAGCTGTAGTAGTAGCTGTAGTAGCAGTAGCAGTAGCTGTAGTAGTAGCTGTAGCAGCAGCAGAAGCATCTGTAGCAGCTTCGAGGAAACTACTATCGCTGCTGTCGTCTTGCGAGAACATATCTACATTTTCTAATAATGTTGATACGTTGGGAGCCGAGTTGAATTTGTTGTTGCTCCTTGTTACATCGTTGTTGTTGTTGTTGTTGTTAGTGGTGTTGTTTTGGTTGTTGTTGTTGTTAAAAAAATTGTTATAGTTTTTGAGTAAAATTAATTTCCTAGTTTTGTTGTCCCAATCTGAACTGTTGCACGAGGTCGTATTAGGATTAGCGTCGTTACTAGCATCGTTACTGTTGGTACTGTTGTTACTTTTTCTGGCATGATTGTTGTTAGCAGTAGCAGTGGTCGGAGTGTCACTGGCGACAGTTGTTATGGCAGGAATGCTAGTGATGTCGTTGCAATTCAAATGCGGTTGGTGCAGCTGCGTTTGTTGCAGCTCTGGTGGCTGGCGATCGCGTGGTAGTTGTTGTTGTTGATGACGATGAGTACGTTGTCGACGCCGATGATGTGGACCCTGCAGCTGATGACGTTCATGATGAGGCTGGTGCATGCTCTGGAAATTGTTATTAGTAACATTTGGTTGGTGAAAATAGTTGGATGAAGCAGCGAGCGCAGATGGTGACGACGACGACGATGATGGCTTTGGTTGCTCTGGGACGAACAGAAGACCCGGAGACGTTGGCGCGAAATAATGAGGCAACATAGGAACTGGTAGCTGCGGTAGAAACTGTGGTAGCGGTGGTGGGGTCAATTCGGAGGTGAAGTTTTGTGGCGAAAATGTTAATGAGGTCGATGTTAACAATGATGGAGTTGCATGCTGTGGAAATGAAGAAGATAGTGGTGAAGGGGCTTCAATAAATCCCGGATATACAGGCGGTCCGAAGTAAACAGGCGGAACAAGAAACGGAGGCGGAAGTTGCTGCTGCTGCTGCTGTTGTTGTACAGGCAGTAATGGCGACGAGTCTCCATTTTTATTAAACGTCATTGATGATATAGGCGATGACGTCATCGACATGACCGGTGAGATAGGTATGATGTGAGGGGGGAAATACGGTGGGAGGAGATGAGGATGAAATGTGAGGGGGTACTCTGCTGGCGGAAGTATTGGTGTTGGTGGTGGCAGGGGAGGGGCGGGATATATTACTGGATAGTTTAAGTAAGGATGTTGATACGTGTAGAGATAAAAATTATTATTATTATTATCATTAATATTATTATCACTATAATTAATATTTTTACTTATATCATCATTATAAATATTATCAGTGTTGTTGTTGCTGTTGTTGTTGTTACTGTTGCTGCTGTTGTTGTTTTTACTGTTGCTGCTGTTGTTGTTGTTACTGTTGCTGTTGTTGTTGTTGGTAAAAGTGCTACTCACATCAACATTATCATCAAAATCATCTGTTTTAAAATTTGGAATTCTCTGTCTTGTATAATCATCCCCTTTGTTGTCAACATTATTATATATTGTATTCATATTCAAATTAACATAATCATTATTATCATTCATATTTTTCTTATTATCCATATTATTAATGAGGTCATCCTCGCCATCTTTTTCCTTGATACTCAGGGCAGCTGAATCGCTACTTCCAATGGTGAAGTTGCTGTTTGAGCTGTCTATCGATTCCTCATCCTCATCGTCGTCGTCACCATCATCATCTCTGTCATCACCATCATCACCATCGTTGTCATCATCATCATTTTTAGCACCACGTTCTTCAGAAACGAATTCGTTATCGTTGTTATTGTTGTCGTTAACGTTGTTAATGTCAGGGTTAAATGTTTTGACTCTGAAGCTCGGATGATTAACAATTTCGGACTTTTCCAACCTGTCTATGTCACTGCATTGATCGTTAGGCATGGCGTTGGCACTGCTGCTTTTAGAGTCTTTCCTTTGAAAGTCATCATTAAAAATGTCATCATTGCCACTATCGTTATCGCGGTGACTATGATGGACCTTACTACTGCCGTCGCAATTTTTTGTTGCAAGACTACTGCTACACTTTGTGGCGGCGACATCGTTCTTCAACTTTTTCGCGGTCAGGCTAGCAGAGGGCAGCAAGGTCAAGGAGGTAGACAGCGTAGTCTTCTTGGAAACATTTGCCAACAACATTTCGAGTCGTTCCTGCAAGGGCAGATGTAGGCAGGATAGATTGTTGGAGTCGTTGGTTGACGACCACTCCGATGTGGAGATGGAAGTGCTGTTCTTGTTCAGCTTGGTCTCCTCGAAGCGGCTGATGCTGCTGCTGCAGCTGCTGTTTTCCATCTGGTGGTGTTGTTTTTGTTGTAACTTGTTCTGTTTCGTCCTCAAATTGCCGTGAATGCTGTTGTTGTTGTTGTTGATTTTATCTTTGCTGATCACACCACCATCGTTTTTCTTATGCTTTGATCTGAAGAGTTTCAGTTTGGCTTCATAGAATCTTCTGCTTGATGATGTTGACGTGTCTGAAAGTTTATTATTGTCCTTTCATTATTTGTATTAGAACTAAAGCTAATGAGGTTGATTTTGGTGCTTAATATTATCATTGTAGAATTTCAAAAACAGCTAGAAACTTTTGTGAAACAACGTTAAATGATAAGAATGGCCTGTTATTATTGAAACAAAATTCGATAAAACATTATCAACGTCATCATTACACGAACCTGACTCTGACCATCTGCTCGTCCTTGAGACGTGACTGGATGACATTGAGGTCAGGTCATATGAAGTCATTGATCTCAGATCAAAGTTCATACCTGTGTACAGAAGTTGATGTGCGACAATAATAGTGGTCTTATATCTCACTTGTAAATAAAAAAAAATGACGGTTCGTCAATTTCCATTCTGTTAATCAAAATCTATGAAACGTTGAATTAATCAACTAACCAACCAACCAATCAACTAATCAACCAATCAACCAACCGACCGACCAACCAACCGACCTATAAGATCTTCAAGATAATGTTGTTTAGTGGCAATAAAGTTTTGTTGTTTGGGACTTACGACGTCTCCTTCAATCAGCTCTTTCGACCGCACCTTCTTCTCTGGCTTGTTCTCATTGCAGCGCACTTCAAAACTGATGATGGAAAAATAAAATCAAATAGAGACTGATAGAGTCAAGAAAAAAAGAGAGAAAAAGGGAGAAAGAGAGAGAAAGAGAGAGATCTAAAGAAAAAGCGAACTAGCCAACAAACCAGCCAGTCAACCAACCAACCAGATAAAACAATTGAATTCAATTACTCAATTAACCACCTACCAATCAAACAATCAATCAATCAAACAATCAAACAACCGACCATCGAACACAAGTCCTTGAACATGACGTCCATGCTTCCTGCCTCCAAACCCACGAACTCATCATGACACCCAGCAAAAAGTAGCATAAGACGTACAGCACCATATAAATCAACGGCGGTTTATTTTCAATCACACAGTGACCATCATTGTCATCTTCGTCGTCATCATTTTCGTTATCATCATTAACATCATCATTGATGTTTTTGTCGATATTGTTGTTTATATTTTGGCTGTTGGTGATGTTACTGAAGATGTTGTTAAATGCGTTTGTTTTGGGATAGGCAATGTTGTTGATGAGGTTGACAGCGTTGTTGTTCTTAATGTTACTGCTATAGATATAGTTGTTGCTTTTGATGTCGTTGTTATTGTTGTCGTTGTTGTCGGAAGGCCCAGCAGACCTGACTGACATCAACTTGGATTTGCATCTTCATATGAGGTGTGATAAAAAGGATTTTTGGACCGACGGAAATAATAATTTTAACATAGAAAACTGACTAATAAATTGATCAATCAGTCTATAAGCATAGTATATCATCATATCGTCATTCTGTTGATTAACATACTTAACATATTAAGCCCCATTCACAAACAGCTAATTAGCATATTAAGCCCCGCCCACAATGAACTAACATAATGTATTTCCTCAGTGACATCTGCCAATCATTCCTGTTGGCAAACTCGTATGCATGTAGTGATATGAATGAAATGCCGATGAGGAAGAAGACTGCAGAGAAGAAACCTTCAGTGAAAGAAGTAAAAATTATTATTAATTAAATTTAGAATTTATAATAATATTAAGTGGAATAATAATAGTATCACTAATATTAACATTAATAGCAACCAACCAAAAAATCAACCAGTCAATCAACTATCCAACCAACCGACCAACCGACCGACCAACCAACCAAACAACCAACCAACCAGCCAGCCAACCAACCAAACAACCAAACAAACAATTAGCCAACCAACCAAACAACCAACCAACCAACCTACCAACCAACCAACCAACCAACCAAACAACCAAACAACTAACCAACCAACCAACCAACCAACCAGCCAACCAATCAACCAAACAACCAACCAACCAAACAACCAACCAACCAACCCACCAACCAACCAACTCACCAATCCTAACAAGAGCGTTATTGATCTTCCTCTTCCTCTCTTCCACCATTAAGTGTGGTGATTGTACCCTCATCTTGTTCAGTGAGTGCATCCCTATGTCAAAACATAATTGGATTGTTCTAAAAAACAACAACTAAAAATAAAAACCATATAATAATTAATATAAAATAATATAAAAACACATAAAAATCAACCAATTATTCAATCCACCAACCAATCAGCCAACTAAAAGACTGGCAAACAAAATTAACCACCCAACCAACTAGCCAACCAATCAACCAGTTGGCTAGCCAACTAACCAGCCAAACAAACAACCTGCCAACCGACCGGCCAACCAATCAAGTATCACACTCGAAAAAGAGCCACTGACCTTTAAAGAAGAAATATAAACTGAGAAACCAGACAATGACAAACGGAACGAGTATGAGGAAAAATTTGTATGTGATGTTGTTCACGGATGATATGAAGCATATCCCAGTCAAAGTGTTGCCCTCCAGCTGATGGAAAGAAAGAACGGATAGATGAATGAATTATTAGATGGATGAACGAATGAAAAAATAAGTAGAAAGATGGATCAACAAATGAATGAACGAACAAATGAAAAAGTGGATAAGTGGAATATAAAAATGGAAACGTAAATAAAACTACTAGCACAGAAAAAAACACTTTAACTCTACAACTTTGTGCATGTACAAAAAAAAGGATGGATGAACACAAATGTAAAAAACGCACGAAACCACAAAAATGAGCAGACCACGACACGAAACAAAGCTACACCACCACCACTACTACAAACAACAACACGAACAACAAACACAAACTTGAACAAGAGCCACGGAGAGAACAGTAAGCACTACAGTTACGGCCCAGACACCAACGTGAAGAAAAACCTTCTTCCTCCTAATACTCTCGCGAGATTTCTCAAACGTCTTGTGCCAGGTGTATGCCAGGACGGATAACCACAGCAGTGATGCAAAGCTGAAGAAGTAGATGACCATGAAGGTCAGACTGCATCTCGCCGAGTTCGGCCCTCTGGTGGGTCGTGCATGAGTGAGTTAGCAAATCATGATCACTAGAAAGTTGTAGTGAGAATATTTGTTTGCACTAACAAACAATTATAATAACATTGATCTCTATATCAAGTTAAATAAACTGTGATGATGATAATATTGATGATGATGAAGATGAAATGATGACGATGAGAAGGATGATGATGATGACGGTGAAAACATTACTTTCTAACACAGCCTAACCTGAACAGTGCGTCAGTCCGGACCGGAGTATCGTCATCAGGATTGCACATGACGTCATAACGTAGCCCTGGGACGAACTGAACCAGCCAGAAGCACGTGCACACAAAGAAGCAGATGTTCAAGTGGAAAATTATGTTGTCAGGAAAGACATTGAGGTGACTCCAGTTCAATATGAATGTTATCTGAGATGCATGTGGGTGTGTGTGCTTTTGTGTGTGTGGTTGTGTGTGTGCGTGTATGTGTGTGGGTGATTGTGTTATGTATGTAATGTGATATCTGACATGCGTGTACTGTGTGTGTGAGCTTGTCTGTGTGAGTTTGTGTGTGTGTGTGTAATGTAAATGTGATAGGTGAATATATGAGCTGTGTTTCATACATGTAGATCTGGGAACAAGCAAGTAAGTTATACTGCTAATTTGAGTGTTCTTGAGAACTAATTCATTTGAAGACCTCAATTAAAATTACACAATCATCTCTAGCACAAGCATTATCATTAGCTATCCATAGAAAAGATAATAAGCATTATAAACTCACAATTGCAAAAACATTACAAATCATGCAAATGATGGCCAAGAGGGCAACTAATGTATGCATGACAACATGGTCATTATCATCAAACCATGGATTTTGGCACTTTAAACTACAGCCCTCAAAGCCAGAGTACCATAATTTGGAGTTGTTGCTAATTGTCAAAGGATCAACACAAGTGCCAGGAGTTTGAAACCCTGCAAACTTTATCTCTTTCTGAAAACAATTTGTACAATTTCAATGTAATTAATTACTATTTATAACAGTAAAACATAGCCACAAATACTAAATGTATATAGTAACAATATCTAAAATTAGTTTTTTTATAATTGTGACCCCATCCCATTTAAAAATTTTTTTACATTTTAAAATATTAAAAAAATTGAATAAAATTAGAGAGGAGTTAAGTTAAGAGAGAAAAAAAACTAACAAGACAGCCAGTGGAAGTGTTAAGTTTATCACACTGCAAATAACGTGGCCAGAGTTTTAACTCATCAATCAACTTGCACGGCTCTTTCACCTTTTTGCACAGCTCTTTGTCAGGCAACTGAACTCGAGATGTGTCACTGCTGGAATTGTACTGACAGTTTGGCAGGAAGACAGTGCAGAGTAGAAGCCTTATGGCGTCCCAGCACTTTGGCACGTTACGAATGTTCTGCCATCTTGATAAATTTTCATCGACCTCCTCTTGGGTCTTATAAGACAAATGGTAGAAAGAGGTGAGGGAGTGGGAGGTGCTGCCAGACAAGCAACTGTTGGTGGGCATGCGTCGGCAGTGATTGCCAGGCAGTGGCTTCGTGGAACATTTTTCACTCATCGGCGAGTTAGTACTCGTAGTCAAATTGAAAGTTATTAAAAATAATAAAATTAATAAATTGAAATTAATAAATGTCATGATTGATTGGATGTTTTTCAGATGAATGAAAAATATGTAAACAACACCATGACAGTTTTTATTAAAAGTAAACTTAATAATATGTCAGAAATGGCCAAATTTTGAACAAATTAAATTTTCGATCATACACAGATGCCTCTTATTTGTCATTTAGAATACATGTTTTGTAATATTAATGTGAAAGGATGGTACTGCAAGCATTGAATAAAGTTGTACATCACCCCAAAACTCCACAAATAACCACCAGCCAGAATAACCACAGGATCCATATAAATTTAATAATTAATCAGTTAATACTAGTGTCAATGTACATTTGTATTACGGTTCTTACCTTGTAAATGATATAAAAATGAAGTTTGTTTTTGATGATGCTTAATTATACACGCCCAGATGTTTAATGGTGTTCATTGCTTTGTTGACTGCTTGTAATGGTTTATCGATCAGCACCGCTGTTAACATGTCATAACGGGATTTGAAATAATAATAAAAGATTGTGTGCATCTAAAACCACATCCACATGAAGCCTAAAACGAAAAAAATCACCAATATTTTTACATAACTTTATTGTTTTGAAATAGTTAAGAAGAGAACTTAGATTTATGATGGTAAAGAATAATTAGAAAATGTACATCTTATATGTCTCTTATTCATCTTATACATCTACCATGACTCTCTCTTCTCAGATTAATAGTGTTGCTAGAAGCTCTTACTTTCATCTACGTAGAATAAACAACTTTTGCCTTTTCTTGATGATCCTACTCTTCTCCTTCTTGTTACTTCGTTAGTCTTATCTAGGATTGATTATTGTAACTCGCTCTACTATGGTCTTCCTGACTCTATACTCTATCCTTTAAGTAAAGCTTTTAACTCTGCTGCTCGTCTAGTTGCTCGTGCCCCTTTCTTTTCTCATATATCTCCATATCTTGTTCTCTTGCACTGGCTACCTATAAAATATAGAATAATTTTTAAAATTTGCACGTTCATGTATAAGTCTCAATCTAAATTATTTCCTAAGTATTTATCAGATATATTAATTGAACCTAAACGCCCCGGTTTACGATCGTCTTCTTTTTCTCGCTTTTTCTTAACTCGTGTTAAACACTCTTTTGCCAAATCTGCTTTTGCTTTTTCTGGTCCTTTTCTCTGGAACTCTCTACCTACTTCTCTGACTACTTCTCCATCACTTGCGAAGTTCAGAGCGGATCTCAAGACCCATCTGTTTTCAAAATTCATTGAGGAGCGCTGTTGAACATCGCGGAAATAGCGCTTTATAAGGTAATTGATTGATTGATTGATTGATATATAGAATAAGTATCAAAGTATAAAGTATGTAAGGTATCATATAACAGTTCTTTCACTACTTTTATTTTCGTTATTTATATTATAAATTATCATTGATTCCGACATTCAAATAGTTGGCCATTTAACATTATTGGTTCTTAAACTATTCAGATATATATTTGAACGTTTATGATGAGAAAATATTCAAATGTTGAATAGCAATTATGATGCTTCTTACGCATAAACAATCTTATTACGTTTACAGAAAATAGTGCTCAATTTATTTCAATAAATTGATTAGAAAACAGTACGACACTATTTTATTTTGTTAAATTCCATTTTTATGTAAAACTTTTTAATAAACCGTAAAAGTATTTAACGTTTTGATCACAAATTCACAATTATCATGAGTGAACCAATTTATTTTAATGGCTCATTTGAACTTGTTTGCGCGTAAGAATACAAGAACTATTTCAAGCGATCAGCTGAGCGAATCAAGGTTGGTTTTTATTTTATTCTCTCTTAAATTTGAAAAAAACTTATTTTAAAGTTCGTAATGATCGGAAATATCATTAAAATGACGTTCAAAATTTATTTTACTATTGATTTCGTTATTTGAATTTTCAAATGGCCACATAAGCGATTTGTTTTTTGATTTTTTCTTCGCCTCTTCTTTTGTATTATAATAACATATAATTTTATAGTAATATATATATACATTGCTTACATCACGTATCTATATAGTATATACTATATATATATATATATATATATATATATATATGTTAAATATTGATGTATTTTATAGCGTTTTTTCAATAAATATATATAATTTATAATCGTATTAATTATCTAAAATCTTCGGGAAGAAATTATATGATTGGATGAATGGGTAAATGTGTAAGTAAAATGATGTAAAAAACTCAGCTGTTTCGTCACACATAATTCACACACACACAATAACACACACATAAAATATTTCACATATTTGTTACTAGTAATGAAGTATATCTTGAAATAATTGTAGTGAAATTATCAATATATAAGTGATTAAAGTGAATCAGTGAGATTAATTAGTGATAGTTCACTCAGATGATAAGATGTGTATCATGATTCATGATATGTACACACACACACACACACACACACACACACACACACACACACACACACACACACACACACGCGCATAACTCATCATAAACACTGGATGTTGTTGAGCTATTATTATCACAAGTGATCTTTCAAATGACTTTGCCTTTGAAGATGTTTTTAATAAATAAATGTTATAGTTTATATATGAGCATATGTATATGTAACTATATATATATATATATATATATATAGCCAAATATATGCGTATATATTTATATAAAGAAAAAATTATATATATATATATATATAATATATAATATCTGTATTTTCAGCTTTGATATATATATATTTTTATGTGTGTGTGTGTGTGTGTTTGCGTGCGTGCGTGTGTGTGTGTGTGCGTATGTGTGTATAGTGGTTATAATGCTTGGTTTGTTCTTAGCTTACTTAATCTTTTCTCTATGTGCTGACTTCATGAGTGTTATGTAGCCTGGATTATCATTATATTAATTGTTTGTTGGGTATGTATGTATGTATGATGGATGTCATGTATGACCATGACCAGGTATAACTTATATGTCTTGTATGGTATATTAAATGATAACATATGTGTATGTGTGCTTGTTTATGACTTTATGTATGTATATGTGTGTGTGTGTTTGTATGTATGTGGGTGTGTATGTAGGTATGTATGTTGTATGTATAGAATAGATATATGGATGTATGAATGAATCAATGTATATGTGTGCGTGTGTGTGTTTGAAAAACTCTTCATATAATGGCATGTTTTAAGCTTTTAAGATCTATTAACTATTAGCAGATTAAGTAATTTATCCATTAGTATTAACAATTTCTAAACTTAGAGGTGACTAATTTGTTGGCAGGTAAAGAACCCTTAAGAAGTTTCTCTGTAGAAGGATATGATCAAGAGTCCTCATGCTCTCCTTAGTAAAGTTATCGAGTGCGTGCAACATGAGAGTTTAAACTGGACAAATCTCAACTACAGAACAGTCACTGAACAGGTTTTTTCATTTATTTACTTGTTTATTTATTTTTTGAAGTTTTTTTTTAATATTTTTGTTTTTTGCAAAAAGGTTTTTTGTTTTTTTTATCCATCTCAGTTTCAGAGTTTCCATAATTCAGCATCTCATTTGTTTTCAGTATAATATATTTTTTTCTAAAATTTCCTGACATATATAAAGTTTGCTAGAACTATTTTTTTATCATATTTATTCATTGAACTGACTAACAACCATCCAACCAACCACCAACCCACTCAACACCTAACAAAGGACAAGGATGACATCTGCGGTTTCCATAGAAACCAGTGTGTCCAGTGGCTCACCAAGTTGAACAGAAAGTTCAACTTTCATCATGAAACTCTTTTTCTGGCCGTGCATTTATTGGACAAGTTCCTGTTAAAAGTGAAGGTTGGTTGAAAATATTTTTTCGTGAAGTTATGATAATTATTATAAATATTATTTGATGATAATTATTATAAATATTATTTGATGATAATTATTATAAATATTATTTGATGATATTTATGAGTGATAGTGAAGGTGTTATGATCTATATTTATATAATTATATATGTATTTAATTGGTGTTTGTTGTGTTGTTTATGAATTTTTATTGACGTTGAAGTGGTGTTGTTATTTAATTAACCATTTCATGATCTGATTTTATGGCCGTTAATTATATGGCCTTCAATTTTTGAAACAACAACAGACGAAGGTGAAGTACCTGAGATGTGCCGGCCTGACCTGCCTCTACATATCTGCTAAGTTCAACGAAGAAAATGAGGTCAGTATCATTATCATCATCATCGTCGCTATCATCATTATCGTTTCTTCTATAGTCACATAAACTCATTTCTCTTTGTATATAGGTTATATCTAATAATATAATGTAAAGCCTAGATAAATGCATGGAATCATGGATGGATGCATATATATATAAAGTACACATACATCTATCACCATCCAGCCAGCCAGCTAACCAATCAACAAGGCAGAGCAATTAGGTTGAGATATCCATCAATAAGTTAGGTTTGAAAAGCACATTAACCCATTTACGCCTAAAACAAAACTACTGAATGAAAAACATCAAATTGTGCAAAATTGTAAAATATGAAGTATATTTAATATGTTTATTCAAAAAAAATTAAAAAAATTTATTTAAGTATAACGTTATAAAGGCGTCCTCAAATGGGGACGTTAGGCAGATGCGAGATGATACTTTTCGAAACACCCCTTTTCGATGCATAGTGTTTTGCCACATTTTTTACACATCCATCTAGCTTTCATGTGGCAAAAAGTACACTTTAGTTGTTTTTCCAATTTTCCAGGGAAGTGAAATCCTACTGTGGTTTTAATACTGGATCCGGCTTTTCTCTTTCTACTGGCTCTACTCGCCGCACCGTCTCTCAAATAGCCACGTACTATATGGCGACGAAACTCGAGTTGGTCCATTACATTCTCAGAAGTTATTTGCTGAATTTTCCAAGCATTGGTCATTGCCATGTCTAAAAAGTACGTAAATAAAACCCACCACCACTTTTTCCCTTTTACGCTTATTCGATATAGGGATAAGCATTGATCATGGTTATCTACTCCTCCCATTCCAGAATTGTAAGATGCGAACAATTTCGGCTGAAGAATGTTTTCTTTAGATTTGGTTGTTCTTGACCATCTCTTTACATTGTTCAGTGGTTTGATTGAATCCCAGTTAGACAACATGCTACAAGCACTGTTGTCATACCATTTTACACATAAAATGCCATTTGCTTTATCAAATTTGAAGTCATAAGACCCTCTTGTCATTTTCTTAATTTCTTTTGATTCCATCAATGGACATTTCTGCATTCGATTTTCTCTGACTGTCCCTGTGGCATTTATGTTTTTTCTTTAGGTACACCATCAATGCGTAACTAGTGAAATAATTATCGAAATAGATATTATTTCTTGATGGTTCTGGTAAATGTTTTAGAAGGTCCAACACAACTTTAGCTCCTAGTGGTAATGCTTTGGTGTCTTCAGTTTCATTTGGTTTTTTTCCACAATAAACATCGAAACCATAGCAGTATCCACTGGAGCTAGCTATCATCCAGTTTTTATACCCGAATCTCACGGGCTTACCTTTAATGAACTGTTTTGCTGGATGATGTCCATAATATTTTACCATAGATTCGTCAATGGAAATGTCTTTATGAAAACATCCCCATTGACAAAAGTTTTCTTGCAACTTGTCTGACAACGGTCTAATTTTATACATGCGGTCATTAGAATCTGCAATTTTGGAATTATCAGCCAAATGAAGAAATCTCTTTATTTCCAGATACCTGTCTCGACTCATAGCATTATAAACACATGAGACTCCGAGATCTTCATCTAGTGACCAATATAAACGCTCTCTTGGCAATGGATTGTATCCAGTAAAATATAAGATTGCTAAAAAGTTCGTAGTTCCTCTGGTTCTATTGTAAATGAGTGGTTATTTTTTTGTCGTGCATAAATGATGGATTGATGGCATATGTAATTAGTAATATCCATGGAAAGAAATTTTTCAAAAATTTGTCTTGAAGACAAATCTTTAAGGTTGTCTTTGATTTTTTGTAGGTCTTCATCAAACGAATTACTTGTACTAGGTGATACTGACGAAAAATCTGATTTTGTCCATTTGGGTTTTTCGAATGTAGTATATTGTTTATATAAACCTTCAGATATTTGATCAGGTTCGTTTTCGTTATCCGGTTCGTTATTCAAATCAACAGATATTTGTATAGTTCCTGAAATGTCTTTTGGAACATAATGAGGATCAATTATATTGTCACATCAATTTCTTCGGCATCTGTCAATTCGTCCAAATCTGGAGGAAGGACACACAAATCAATACTGCCAATCGTTTCAAAATTATCACTTTCTATCTCTTCCAAGGCTTCTTCTAATTTTTGAAAAGTTTTAGTGCCATAAAAGGATTTAGGATCCATGTTATTCACGTCTGAGGTAAAATCAAAAAGTTAACCATAATAAATTCATTTGTGCCTAACGTCCTCGTACGAGGACAGTAAGATGTTTGTGTTTGTAAATTACTTTATATCAAATTAATATTCAAAATAATGTTACTAACATAAAGATTAATCCAAAGACTTCTTGTTTTTAAAATAAAATTAAAAAATTTTAAAATTTTTTTAACAGAAAAAAAATTTGCAAAAGTAGCTCTGTCACTATGAAAAAATCGCCAACTTCTAAGCTTCGTCACATCAAACACAAATGAAAAAATCGCCAACTTCTAAGCTTCGTCACATCAAACACATGCACAAAAATGTCTAAATTACACTCACTACTAGTTAAATGGTATGCATTACCAGGATGTAGCAAGATAATTACCTTTAAAACACCTCCCATTTTAATTGATGCCAAATTCAAGAGGCTACTCAAATGAGTACGGCCGGCATTAATGGGTTAACTCCATCTACTGCACTACTTTACTTGCTCTGCTGTTAATAAATGCACTTGTATTTGAACTCTGTAAACAAATCCTGAAATTTGTTCCTACATATATCTTGCTTTGCATTGCAACTCAGGTTCATTCGTTCGTTCATTCGTTCATTCATTCGTTCATTCATTCGTTCATTCATTCGTTCATTCATTCATTCATTCATTCATTCATTCATTCATTTATTTATTCGTTTGTTGTTCATTCTTATCTTATTTATGGGTTGTGGTTTTTGTCATTTTCAAATATTTCGTTGTGCTGTTTGGTGTTTCTATGCTTTTTTTTATGGGTATGTGGAGTTGAAAATGTTCTAAAAATAAATAAATAAATAATTTAGTAGCTTGTAACTCTCCTGCGTATCATTACATATGCACATCTCTCTCTTCCTCTATATATAAATATATAAATACACACTTGCATACACCATGTATGTTTGTAAATCCAAACATACATGACATACAAACAAAAAAATAAAACTCAGGATGTACCAACAACGAAGCATCTTGTTGACGTCAGTGGATGCGGTTATTCAGTTGCGGAGGTGGTGAGGATGGAGGTCTGCCTGCTGCAGTACCTCAACTGGAATGTCAGCAGTGTCACGTCATTCGAATACCTGACTTTGGTGGGTTTGTTGATGTATTGTTTGTTTGTTGATGTATTGTTTGTTGGTTTGTTGATGTATTGTTTGTTGATGTATTGTTTGTTGGTTTGTTGATGTATTGTTTGTTTGTTTGATGATGTATTGTTGGTTTGTTGATGTGTTGTTTGTTTGTTTGATAATGTATTATTGGTTTGTTGATGTATTGTTTGTTTGTTTGTTGTTGATGTTTTTGTATATAACGTAAAAGTTTACACTGTCATTTTTTGTTTGTCTGTATGTTTTACAGTGTTATCAACTGTGTTGTTAATATTTGTGTTTTTTTAATTCGCCTTCCCACTTGTCATAACAATGAAGTTTGTTTCTTAATTGCTCTATGGCTTTCACTACATTCATTCATTCATTTATATGGTTATTTGATTAATCTTTTCTTTATTTCTCTCTCTCTCTCTCTCTCTCTCTCTCTCTCACACACACACACACAAACATTTCTCCCTCTCTTTCTGTTACTCTTAAAGTTAACTTCAATATGATAACCATTAATTATCATCTCATTAAGTTATTATGTGAGCAATCTCTAAATGCCATTCCTCAATTTTACAGTATGTTACTCATTTTTTCTCTAATTACTACTCTGAATCCATGATTGGCTTCTGTGTATTGTTTGTTGAACCTACAATTGCAGAAATTATTATTTCATCATCACACTCCAGTTAATTTGTTATGACATTGAATCAATTATTTTCACATTATTTGAAATTATTTCCAAAAAATTTATTGCATAATTGATTCCAAAACTGGTATAGAACTTGGTGGTATCATTGATAGGATGATTAAGCTTTATTTATTTAATGTTTTTCCTAAAATTCCATTTAATCACTCTTGCGTCAAATCTTCACTCCTCACTCATTACATCATTACAGTTTGGCGCCTCAGTTGCTTGCCAGGGCGCTTTATAAGTCAACATTATCATTATCATATCATTACATCATTACCATGACAACCATGACTCAGGCTTTACTGCAAGAACACTTGTACTAACTTAACAAAACAAAAACCACATACCATCATCATTATATAATAATTATTTGTCGGTTAATGGTTATTATTAATCTTAATTGATAATAAATATTGTAAATTATTATTATATAATGAAAAAATTAAATTATTGTCAACAGTACCATGCCCTGCTGACCATGGAGTTGGAGAGCAAGAACCTGTGTGGCTTGACCTATCAGGGTAGGAATTCAGAGGACCTCCTCTCTGACGCCACCACTCTGCTGACGGGCTGCCTGGCTCACCAGGACATGCTCAACTACCCACCTTCTGTACTGGCTCTCGCCGTTCTCAGCTACCTCGTCAAGAAGTTGAAGTATAACGTTGCTCTCAATCTCATCAAGCAGTTCAGGAAGTTCATTAAGGTATACTGTCTACATCTCTCTCTTTCTTTATGTATTTCATCAGTGTGTGTCTTTGTATGTTTGTCTGTCTGTCTGTGTATGTTTGTGTCTTCTATTTTCATCGTGTTTTTGTGTGAATGTGTATACTTTTGTCCTTTGAACATGTTGTTTTTACATGCAGTTGTGCAACTGAATCCAGAATCTGCTAAAAAACTTGTTTTTGATTTTGATCGATGGAATTTTAACCCTTAACAAATGGAATTAAGAAATGTTTGAAATTGCATTCTCCAAAACAGGTGAACAGTGGATTGTTGCGGGCGTGCAAGTCTCACCTGTCAACATTGTTGCCTCATTATGCAACTTGTTGCAAGTTTCAACTTGCAACACTGCGCAACATGCGCTCGTCTTCGTTGTCGGATTCTGACGCCAGCGACGACGACGACGACTTCTCTGACTACTTCGAGAAGTTCCTCTATAAGGAGATGCAGGCCTCATCATCAGCAGCAGCAGCAGCAACAGCAGCAGCAGCAGCAGCAGCAGTTACTTCAAACGCGTAAATTTAAATTTATAATCACGGATAACGAAGAAAACGGCATCCGTTAACTTCAAATGCGGATAATATTCATCTGAATACTTAATAGTTTATTTGTTACGAGTCGTCGTCGTATTTTGAAGGATTTTTCATTTTTTAAACATTTTTTCAACTATTTATTCGTCTGTTTATTTAAAATTCATTCATTCATCCACCCATTTGTTCATACACATTCACTGACAGCTACATGTGAAAAAATTGTAATACGGTAATTTTGTACAGATATTATCTTGTAAATATGATAGTACGAATTCTTAATTTTTTTTTCCTGTAAAATTAACTGAATAATTATATTTATTATAATTACTTGATTGATTGTTTGATTGATTGATACTGATTCAATTTTAGCTAATGACAGTTGGTATAGATAGATCAGTAACGCAATCAATGATAGTTATTAATTAACATTTTCATGTTCGCCTCTCTCTCGGATGTTCAACGAACGAACCGCCGACAAATGGGAACCATTTCATTGGACATTTAAATTATTTTCAAACGTTTAATTTACTTGAACTGTTTCTCTGTACTTGTCGTTTGTTTTGTCTCAATTATTATCTCTATTTATATACATATATACCTACTTGTTTGTTTGTTTGTTTGTATGTTTGTTTGTTTGTCTGTCTGTGTCTCTCTGTTTGTATCATTATCTTCGATTGATTATCACCAAATTGTTGATATTTACACAGCTAGTGTAACGCTATTTTGCGTCCGTCTGTATTTTTCATTGTTGGTTCTATCTACTGCTAACACTACCGTAACCGAAAATTTGGTTTAACTGTATTATTATTTTCAAGCGTATAATCATTACTTTGTTGTTTTTCAGTTTAGATTTGTTTATATTCGAAGGATGTTGTGTGTGTGTATGTGTGTGTGTGTGTGAAACTTTGTGCTACTTTTCACACTTCATGCAAGAGACTTTGGTCTGGTATGATGTAAGCTCTTTTGTTATCTTCATATTTTCTCCGTTGTTTTTGCCAACAACGTTTCTCCAATTGTTGAATCATCTTATTGTTAGTTTTTATTATTATTGTTGTTGTTTTTGTTGTTATTGCAATGTTATTATTGCATTGTTTCAGTGAGTTTCCATGCGAGTGTTACAATGTTTTGCCTCTTTTAATTGTTATTTGTTAATAGCCCTATCGTTATTTGTTGTTATTTATATTTTTGTCATATCATCATCACCTTCATCATCTCCCTGATTTTAATTAGCTCTTTATTCAACTTTTACATTCAAATTTATAAATTGCCAAACATTTTACAAACGATTTATTAGCCGCCTCCCATAACTAACGAGATTGGTCAGCTAATTAAGGTCTGATATGTTGATTGCCCACTCAATTAATTCTTAATTGTTCGCTAATTAAGGTCTAATTGATTAATTATCCACTATATTTAATTAAATTCTTATTTGTATGTATTGATTTGTACGTGTGTGCATTTTTTTTTTGCATTAAACTAGTCAGTCATGTTATTTATTTACTCTCTCTCTCTCTCTCTCTCTCTCTCTCTCTCTCTCTCTCTCTCTCTCTCTCAGTTTCTCAATTTTAAACCACCCTATTAACGAAAAACGAAAATTCGCATAAGTATTTTGTATAAGATATTTATTTGTCTGTATTTGTATAATAAAAGAAATATTAGTGCTATAATATTTCAAAGGTTTTATAGCAATAAATAAAAAAGCCTTCGTGAATAAATAATAATTCATTCGTGTTCTTGATTCTGAAAATTTGAAAATACGGTCAACGTGACGTCATCATCACGACAGCCGTTACGTCATCATCTCCTTATTATCGCCATCGTCATCTTTTTATTATCGTCATAATTTCCATCATCAGTTTATTATTACATATAAATTAATTAAAAATGTTGATATACATATATGCTCGCATATATGATAGTTCTTATATATCTTGATAGTATCAATTTAATAAACAAATATGTGCGGATACATACACACACACATACATACATCATACATACACACATACGCATGCTGTGTGTACATCTGTATAATGTACACAAATTGAGTATGCGTGCGTTTGACATTAATCACAATAAATATAATTAATCAGATTAAGAACCAGCTTAATCAATTGATTTGATTGATTGATTAATCGACTGACTGATTGATATTCAAGCGTGCAGGGCAGATATAAATAGGAGATAAATTGAGATGACAATGTTGGCTATTGAAGAGAAAATAAATTTTTTGGAAATTTGGTGTAATAGCCAGCAAACATCATGTGGCTAATTCAAATTCCATCAAAAATTATAACTTTAAACTAAAATTCCAAAATATTTTGGCAGCGAAAGTCTGAAAACCGATGAACGACGTCATCGTAAATAAATAAATATTATTATAAATGTAAACGGTTTTATATCTTACTCGAATTTTGACTATTATTGTAGCTAGGCAATCAAATTTTAAATAGTAGAGCTTTGTTACTGTGGAATTAATGGGTTGAAAATTATGATGGTGGTAGCGATGATGATGTTAAGTAATGATGATGATGTCATTATCATTGATGATGATGTCATTATAATGATGATGAAATCTCAATAAGGATCATTATGTTGATTGTCTTGAGTTTATTTATATTATATATTTATCCAATAGTAAAGTTAATTGAATAAATTAAGAAGAAAAAAACAATTGACTAATTTAATTTGGGGCTGGAACATTTGGAACATTCGAAAGTGTAATTGAAAATAGTCGGTTTTACTAATAAAAGTTCGTGTATATATCCACCAATGTCATAAATCTCACTTGTAACACTTCACATCACACAGAGTTTGACAAATCCGTCAACTAATAATTATAGTTTTGATTGCGTTCAATATTCAAAAAATTATGAAAACACTCTGACCTTTAACGTGTTGACCTACGAAGATTCTATAAAAAATAGAATATACGTTTTGAAAATCACCTCAAATAGCCAGAAGTATAACAATTAGAATGATAATAATAATGACATTATTATACTATATTAATTTTTAATAATGACAACAATAACAATCAGAATATCTCTAATAAAACGAAACAAAAATTCGTTCGACACAAAAAAATAATTCATGTCCACTCCACGCTTCTACCACACATTCAAAACTAATTTTTTTAAAAGCAAGTAGGTAGAAGTAATAACTGTCAATCATTTTTTTCGTATAATTAGAGCAACATCATCTTGCTCTCTCTTCTCTCTCTCTCTCTCTCTCTCTCTATATATATATATATATATATATATATATACTAAAATACTTTTAATTTATTTAGCTTGAGAAATATTAAAAAAAATACTACATAAAGTAATTTTGAACCATATTAATAATGGTGAGTTGGCTGGGCACGCACAAAAATTCATCATAAATTTGGGTAAATAAATGAATGAAAGCAATGAACGAAAGAAAGGATGAAATGAAAGAAAGAAGGAAAGAATGGAATGGATTAATCTACGTATGGTTTTTCAAATTATAAAAAAATACACTCTTTCTCACACACTCACACACGCACGCCACACACACACACACACACACACACACACACACACACACACACACACACACAATTTAACTAACTAACATGCATATAAATTTAGCTACTCCTATGAATTACGAAATTAACCAAAGAAAATATTCCCACTTTGAATAAAATATTTTATAACTAAATATTTATACTTAAAAAATAAAACCAGCTAAACTTGAAGATGAACACCACCCAAACTAACTGCACTAAACCAAAATATGCCTACCTTGATATTTTTTAATCGTATTCCATATACTCCAGGTTCGGCAGTTCGTTTGGGCCCGAAAGATGGAAATTAAAATATAGATGCCAGTCTGATAGCCATTTCGTTTGCCTTTACTGAGTAATAAATACAAACTCTAAAATAAAACAATGAACCAAATTTATATACACTAAACCAGATTTAAACCCCACGCAGAATTTTAAGTATGGATGAAATGAAGCCAGTTTATTTACAAACTACCCAACTGAAATGAATTTCCATTATATATACATACATATACTATGAACAAACTTTAAAAATTGTAACAAAGTGTTTAACACAGGTCGAAACATTAGGCAACATCTATTTATTTATTTTATTATTTATTATTCGTTAAAAAACAGTAAATAACAAAAATTGAATGAAAACAAATTGAAAGAATAATATTAAAATAAGACACAAAGCAATCTGCTATGTGCATATCAATCATTTATACATGGGAGAAGAAAAAGAGGATGGAAAAAGATTGGTTGGTGTTCACGCGGTTCAGACGGTAAGTAAATCATTATATCATTGAACATGAATAGTTGGATACGAAACAAAACCACAATCATTTCATAACAAGCAACACAACAACGATGTCAACAACAACGACAACAACAACAATGACAACAACGATAACAGCAACAACAACAACGATAACAGCAACAACAACAACGACGACAACAAAATCCAGGTAACGACAAACAGTGAACGAAGAAAACAGTAAGAACAAGAACATGCACATGTTTAGAAGTATTTTCTTCAACTTAATTAAATACGCACATAGAACGTATGTATGAATGACACTGAAACAAAAACAACTGAATCCAAACTAAATTACATTGTTTGTTTGTATGATTGATTGATTGGTTGATTGATTGGTTGATTGATTGTCAAACTTTATTAGCCTTCGTTCACTCAATCTAATTTAAGTGCAAGTTTGAAAAAGGAGAAAATAAGATGGAACAGAAATAAAAAACAAACCAATGGGTAGAGTCAACTAAAAATATCTTACTTGCAGTCACAAGTGCAAAACTTCCTACTTACAAAGTTGCTCAACATATCAATATATAAAAATAATGAAGTAAAGTTTGAAAGATGTAATTAAAACAGCTTGAATTATCAACTTGTCTATTTTATGCAAATAATTATCATTATTAGTAGCCATTTAAATTTTCCACAAGACTGACCACAATGCTTGCTATTCAAAATGGCCACAACATAGGCAGTGAAATATGAACGTGTCACGCACTACCACACACACAGACAAGCTACCGTTACAAACGTCAACTTCACCATCTCCATTCTCACTATCTATTTCAAAATCAACCATAAAATCACTCTAAAACTCTGGAAAATCAACACACACTCTAAAACTACACCGTTACTGTCGTAACAACTTTTGTGAGAAAAAAAAAACGAAAATAAATTAAACAAAAGTTAATGTTTGAATGCAGCTAATAATTTATGTTTCCTGTTCTTTGCTCCGCCTTCTGTTCCCTCACTACAATGAATGGACGAATCAGACGAATTGCCGTCATCTTTTAGGCTGGCGATTGGCTTCATGGAGGAAACTTTGGGTAGGATTGGCTGGTTTGAATTTAAATCATCGACCAACAGTTGCCTGGAAGAAGGATACTGGTAATGAAGAAGATGCTGGTCGTTCGAGTTTATGGAGGATTTCTTAATCTCAGTGAGGAGTTTGGTGGGGCCGTCGACAAAACTTTTGCTCTTGACCATGTTCGTGTCGAGGGAGAGGTTGCTGTTTGAGAGGGTGGATCCATTCAAGGACTGCCTGCATTTTCGTCGGTGTCAAGTTAGTTCACATTTTTCTCTAGTTCACATTTGGTTCAATGCATTCTATTCTAATACGATTCTTTTCAATTGGTAAATTTATCAATCAGTGAAAGAATTATTCTAAACCCAAGACAATCCAACACAACAAAACACGACACAAGATAGTAGAAGATAACCTACATATCAGATGAGCCAAGTTGGAAGAAAACCTTGCTGTTGCTGTTGCCACCGTCAGATGAATTGTCTTTTACGGAGCCGGACAAGCTGCTGTTGGAACTCCTCATCTTCGATTTCTCCTCCAGGCACGCTGCCGACATCATTTTTAACTTCGCTGTCAAACAAAAAAAAGAGTATCCATTAAATTTGTTTGTTTGTTTGTTCTAAGTTTTAGAAATTTAAAAAAATATAATTATCCAACTCTCTCTCCTCTGTCTTTCTCTCTCCATACTCTCTCTCTCTCTCTCTCTCTCTCTCTTTCCATACTAAATAACTAGCATAAAACAATTATTATAACGCAACTTAAGCATGTTAACGTATTCAAATATTATCAATTAAATAATAACAATTATTATTATAATAATAATTATAAATTACTATCATATTAAATATTACAAACTTGAAACATCTTAACAAAAACAAAGTGTTAATATGAAAATGCCACACAGTGAATTTCTATTCGGCCCACACATAATATGATGTGCACAGCACTAAAAGACAATACAAACCACACAAACTGCACCCCCAAACGATAATGATAACCACACACACACACACACACACACACACACACACACACACACACACACACACACACACACACAGTCACACACATATGTATATATAAATGTGCATCATAGCCATTCAAACACACATTCACACATGCAACCGTACACAAACAAATTTATACCAAAATACATCCATCATAAAATGCACTGTGTGTAATACACAACACACATTTACAAACTAACACACACACATAAGCATACTCGCATAACAAACAAACAAAAATTTAAAAAAATAATAAAAAGTAAAGAAAAACCAACTAGGATCTGTTAAATCATCAGAGCTCATCACAGCACTTCTCACAAATGAATTAAACTTCTCTGCATATGTGCATGTATTTGTTGTATGTTTGTGTTAATAATGCACGCTGATTGTTAGTAGGTGAATGAATGCATGCACACGCACGTGCATGAATGTGTTTTGCGCGTGTAATTAGAGTTGCCACGTCCCAAAAAGTGCTAGAGAATGATTCAAAATTCTAACATTTCTCCACAGTCAAATTTATAAATTTTACAAATTTTCAAAACCTCTCTATGTAATAGTACTTGTTGAAAGTGGCAACCCCAATGCCCTTGTGTATATGTATAAATCCATGCAAATGTACCCTTCAGTCAGTGTGTGTGGGCTTTTTACGTGTATATGCTTACATGCAAACTATGATGTAGTGAATGAATGAATGAATGAATGAATGAATGAATGAATGAATGAATGAATGAATGAATGAATAAATGGGGCTCGGAAACATGAATGTTCATTGACAAAGGGATGTGCAAGCAAATGTGCATATATACGAAAAATAATATTTTTAGACGCGTTTAGTTTCTGACAAATACATCAAGCATGATGCTTCTCAAATATCTCGACAAACAACAAATTTGAAAATTTAAAAAAATAACTGGCTACATGAAAACATGAAAAGAAGGAGAAATGATTAGGTAAAATAGAAATAACTGTACGCTCAAAGTTTGGTTACATTCAGAAATTAATTTTGTATCAATAGTATGTTATGCTAATGTAGGGTTATATAAAAACACGATCAACACATGCGTTAAAACTTGAAAACGTTCAACAGTTTTATATCATTAGTTGTTACTGTAAACTACACACACGGAGGAACATTAACAGGTAAGATGGATTGAGGTATGAAGCAGCAAGAAGCTTTTACGGAAAATTTGTACTGATCCATTATTGAATCAACCAATCAAGCGAAGAAACAAAGGACAACCTGATTTGATGATGCTGTAGAGTGTTTCAATGCCTGGATTTGTCGAAATGCTGAAGTGACAGAGCTTCTCAATCTCATGCCACCTGGTCATTCTCTCCTGGAGTTCTACCTTCACGATGTCCAGGGCATTCCTTCAGAGGGTGCCAACAAACAACTCCATCATTGATTGAATTACAAAAATAAAAAGTGAAACGAACGAATAATTTAAGACGTGTAATGCAAAATTACGTTACGTAAAGAACTGAATGGGATCAGCTTATTTTGAAAAATTAAAAAAAATTAATAAATATTACACAAACATGTAAATTATTAACAATATAATTATTAATGTAATTAATATTATAATTATTTTTCCAGCCTACCACCTGACGTGCATAATTTGTTGGTCAGTCTCATCGAGAGATGTCGTGTGGGCGACTCGGATGGAGCCCAGAAACTTGCTCTTCTGCTTGCGTATCTTATCCCACTGCAGCAGAAATTGAAATATACATGCAATAATTTCCATACTAAATCGACGCATTCACTTTTAAAATTAGTATTACCTACGGGACTATGTTAGTTAACGTAATTAGCATGATCCCCATCAGTGCATGTATATTAATGAGTGATTCTAAAATCAACGAGCCACATTAACATAAATTAGCCACATTAACATAAATTAGCCACATTAACATAAATTAGCCACATTAACATAAATTAGCCACATTAATATTAATAAGGCAGTGCCTCATACCATCTGCCTAGCGGCAAGCAGTTGATTCTGGGCGGCCTCCCTCTTAGATTCGAAGTACCTCTTCTCGACCTCGTACGTCAGTTGCAGCCAGATCTGAAGTTCGAACAGGGGTATGCATTGGTTCTCTTCCAACCTTCTCTCTGCTTCGTACAGAGCCAACTTAACCTACCCTCAGCCAATTATCGTAAAGTTAATTTAGTATCAGAATAATGTAACAATGTTCTTCAGTAATTATCACTAACTGATTTTTAACAATACCAACTGTAATAGTAATAATAATTACGGTGTAGTAAAAATAACAACTGCATTGCTTGTACAACATAAACATTTACAATTCAGAAATAGTAATAAATTAGACGTTCATAATAAATGTTCAACGTGTGACAATTAGCTGACGCACAGCCACAAATATAGCCTAATACACGATGATATAATTTCATAACATTGCATACAGCAGCTGCTGCTGCTGCTACTACTGCTGCTGCTGATGGTAATAGAGTGGTAATGGACCTTCATGAGTTCATCCTCTAGAGCTTTCAGTTCAGCACATGAGTCAGGACTTCCCTTCAACATTTTCAGCTGTTCTGCTTCTGCCTGTTTGTTCGTTCATGTTCACAACATTCATTTGTATGTTTTTTCATGTTCCCATCATTTGTTTGTTCGTTAATGTTCACAACATTTGTTTATTCATATTAATATCGTTTGTTTGTTCGTCATGTTTACTTTTATTAATATTATTATCCAATATAATCATCCGTTTGTTTGTTCATCCTCATCATTTGTTTGTTTAATCAAAACATGAATGAGCAACCAAAAAAAGAAGCACTGGACAAACTTTTGCATGTCTTATTTCTTCCTTTAACTTTCTTTCCAAGTTCTGCTTGTCGTCTGCTATGGTACGCTGCTCCATCTGAGCTTTTTCCAACCTGGTGGAAAGAAAAATACTACCATCACCGTCGTCATCACCATCATCATCATCTTCGTCAGCACCATCGTTATCCTCACCTTTTTCGTCATCATCATCATCACCCTCTTCGTCATCATCATTTTTGATATCGTTCTAGTCATCTTCATTTTCACCATCTTGGCACTTACCATCATCATCACCACCGTCGTCGTCATCATCATCGTTGTCGTCATCATCATCATCGTCGTCCCCAAAGAACAATGTTAATATCAGTTATACTCATCGTTCCAATACCCTTCATCATCATCATCATCATCATCATCATCATCATCATCATCATCATTCTTATGGTCACTCATGACTTTAACAAAACCCATCAAACACTCCAACAGTAAACATAATAATAATAATAATAATAATAATAATAATAATAATAATAATGATGATGATGTCATGATCTAATAATAATTTTAACAAGGAAATTATGTGAAGAAGAAGAAGAAGGAGGAGACCACGTGACAAATGTAATAAACGTTCTCCACCCTTCACAAACAATTAAGCAAGCAGAAATAAACAAAGAGAGATAGAGAGAAAGTAACAAAAAGAAGAAGAGATAGAGAGAAAGTATCAAGCCGAAAAAAAAATAAAATAGTGAATAACAAACAAATAGACAGATTGCTCCTTAACTGCAGACCTACCTACCTACCTGCCTACCTGCTTGTACTATAAAAAAAGATCTTTCTCGTTGAGTGAGTGAACTCAAGTGCCGGCAACATTCAACAAATAGTTTTATAACTAGATATAAAAATACGATGACAAGAATTATAATCAGAATGATGTCCGCCCTAACATTAATAATTATGATACTGATGACATGGCACTGATGTCTAGATCTAGACACCATCATAAATCAGTTGAAGAATTTTTTGTTGTTGTTGTGTAACTCTGGTAGACAGGGAACTGCTAACATATCATTCCTATACTTAAACCTTCAGACTAAAAAGACCGCACTACACACACACACACACACACACACACACACACACACACACACACACACACACACACACACACACACACCACAACAACGTGGAGTTTCAAATTACATAACATTGCATGGCTTGGAACAGTGTAACATAGCATTACAACATTACATAAGTATCTAAACTATACTGAACTACAGAATGCACTGTACCTTCTCCTCCAATGTTTGTTGTCTATTTTACTGATTTACAACCATTCATTCATTCATTCATTCATTCTATCATCCATTCATTCCCTTAATCATTCGTTCATCCATTTTATTATTTATTAGATCATTTATTTATCTATGCATTTTTTCATGTTTATTTTATGAAATGCATTGGATTCATCATTCATTCATTCAGCAAAAAAAATTGATACGCCCACCACACACACACACACACACACACACACACACACACACACACACACACACACACACACACACAAACAAACATAAAATGAATTAATCACATGTAAATATTATATCAGATAACAAATTCCTAATGAATATCAATACTACATGTCAGCTAAATATAAACATACTCTTAACATCAATCTCAGAGACACACACAAACACACACACACGCACACATACACACACACGCACTCACAAACATATACACACAAACACACACACACATAGATAGCATCACATAACAGGTGACTCACTCATTTTGGACCTGTATCAGAGCATCTTCAGCATTCTGCAGCGACGACAGGTCCTTCATGACCTTCTGCATCTGCACATGAGCCAACTTCTGCTGCCTGTAGGCGAAGTAACATCCTCCAAGGCCCACCAGCAGTGAGATGATCACCGCGACGTCCTTCTTGAAGTTGTGTGTGTCTGCAAAACAACAACAACAACTCTTGATTGATGATTATCTATGAAGAATTTAAACCCAAAACTATCAAGATGACAAATGCCCACACACACACACACACGCGCGCACGCACAACACACACACACAAACACACACACGCAGCGGCGTGTAGAAATATACAAAAATAAAATACAGAAGTAGAAATATTTGTTTGCATTAGCAAACATTCACCACAATCTGATAAAAAGGTTGACAAATACAATGCATGCATGTTGCAAATAAATCACACACACCACACAAC